ATTTTACAGTGAAGCCAAAAGAATAGGCAAAGATTATACAATCCTATTGTCTATTTGTGAACCTAGTCTGAGATGCAGACAGGGCCTGAGCTAGTCTTTGATATGGTAAAGAGTGTTGCATGTCCCTCAGCTCCATGCATGAAAGAGAGCAAGAAGAGAGGCATCAGAAGGGTCCTGAAGGGTGGAGAAATCATTTAACTGTTGTGCTTTTTTAATTTGCTGGACATATGCACACAGCCCAGCACAAGCATTCCAACTCATACTTCCTTCACTAACAATCTCCTTGTCATATATTTTGATCCACACAGACAGACAGAACAAAAAAAGCAGAAAACATCAAAAGCCATCAGAGATTTGATCTATCTGTGAATGCAAAGCCTTTTAGCATTCTGTGAGTGAGGGAGAAAGAATCGCTCACAGGACAGCAGCTTAAGGGCCATTACTTGTTCATTAGACAAAGAATAAACAAGAACTTCGCTATCTATATTTTAAAATGAAAGATGTGTAGGAAGTAAATCTGCATTTAGAAGTAAATCTCTATTTGATCTAGAAGCAGGTTTTCGGAAAGGACTGTTTTCCTTCATTGCTTTTCAAATGCCTTTCGGCCTTGAGTTTCTATATGCAAGGCAAAAGAATATATCAATCTTCACAGCAAGAATGCACGAGAGGGAATACAAGTTTACACACCTACGAAATGAATCACTCAGATGCTGAGCTGAAAAAAAAACAAAGATTGAGAATGTGACAGAGTGAATTGAAATGAGTTATTCTTTAACTTAAGTGCGATATAGGCTACACACTGATTGTTCATATGTACCATTTGATATATTCTAAGCAACAGTGAGCCATTTAAATATTAATAGAGCCATTGTTTCACCCTGCAGCAGCCAGAACTAACAAGGCCACCGATTTTAGTAGCAAATGAAGATGTTAACGCCCACGTGAACTTCTCAACACACTGCTAATTAGTTTGGCCGAGCTGTAGAGGACTAATGAGAGGTGGTGCGCGAGCCACACGATGTCAGACTGCTACAGGGATAGCAAGCAAAGGGGAAGCCGAGCGTGTGAAATCGGAGTGATGTTTAATTAAAACTACATGTCCTAAATGCTGCCAGCTCAACAACAGTCCAACAGTCTCCCAATAAACGTCTGTCCATCAGAATGGCGCCTAATGAGGGAGCATGTGGTTAGGTGGTTCGATATTGAATTAAACTTGGGGTAGAAAGACAACTCTTTTTCTTTTGTTCTTGATTTCTCTTTCTCCTCTGTCTTTTTCTTAGTTGTTAAAAGCTTTATGAATCTCAAAACGAATGCATTTTTTTCCCTATTATATGAGGAGGCCTTCAAGTCACTGTGTTGTGTATTCTCTCTTATGTATGCATTTATGGATGCTTCTATATGAGCAACCCTGCATGCATCACGTTTACATTCATATTGTTGGTGAGAAGGTTCATTACAGCGGGTTTTGTTGCAAATGTGCTAGTGTCATGATTCTTCTCTATATCTTGTGGAGATTCTCTAGGAAGACCATAGAGTGGAATTTCTTTGTCTCTTGGGTTACTTCATTTCCAAGTCTTTCTTTCTGTCTATGTGTGCCAAAACATGATGCATTATTCATTTATTTCTTAACACAGATCCAATTAGTTGTGTTTGAAAAATTCATAAGGCAAAGAGAATTGTGTGCAATGATACTCCAAGAAAGGAACTTTCTGAGTATTTTATCTTTCGCGAATGTCTTGGGGGAAATGTTATATTTCAGATGCAGGCAGAATCTGAGCATTCAAAGTTGCCAGGTAACTGTATTGCCATGGCTGACTCACAAATGATGTATGTATATGAAATAATAACCTCACAAGATGTTTAAAGGCATAAAATCATCTTTTGGTGTAATTGATGCCCTGCAGCTATGCCTAATTTCCAGAGAAACTGAGCCAAAATACACAAACTAATGATCATGAAATATTTGTTTAAGGCACACACTGTAAAATAAAAATGATGCAGTGCTTTTGAAAATTTCGTGAATATTTCATAACTATTTAACGTTTTTTTTTGTTATTAAATGTTTTTGACTAGTTGAGTTAATTTAAAAATGATAAAAATCTACTCCTTTTGTTGTGAAAAGTAATATCATTCTGTTTAATTATTGAGTAAACCCAACATGAAGGAGCAGTTATTAATTAAAGCATTTCTGTTATGTCTAATCATGCTTCCAATCAAGGTTATTAGTCCCATTTGCCTTCTTCCCAGCATGCTCTGGGTCATTAGTAATCGCAGTTGCATTATTTGACCTTTTGCCGTTTACGTTATACTGTTGGTGTTGTTGTTGTTGATTGTGTTGTCACATTTAGTAGTTTGTTTTGTTATCTCAGAATGCATTTGTTCTCCTTAAAATGATCAATTATTAGATTGTTTATTGTGTGTCTATTTCTTGTGGCATGTTAAAGGTACAATATGTAAGATTCACTTGCACAGTGGGATATATTTCCTGCAGTTGTGTACTAACAATATCCCAAAGGTCTCCAAAGATTTTTTGTTTCAGAGAAATTCCTATTTTAAATAAGTGTCCGTCCCAAAAAAAAATGTCGCCTGTCAATGACGCAATATCCGCGCTATCCTCGGTTTCCATTCATACTGCCATAGCCATGACGTAACCATGGCGACAGACATGGACAACTACGTAGTGCGTAACGTTTAGCGGCACGCAGTTCTTGTTTCTTTCAAACATAGACCATGATAGCAAGCAGACTTTGGGACAAACAAGGAGAACTAAAATGAGGATCAATATCAGTGTGGCGTTTTTGAGATGCCGAGCTCCACGTCCGTGACTAACTTGGACTTGACAGAGCTTCAGTCACGACTTGACAGCTTTATTAGACAGGTGAGCAAATGTACATAAAACAAATCAATGTATAACGTTAGCTCAACATGATGAAATGTTAGAATATGGTCAGTATGTTATTCTAATGTTGATCTAGCTTACTGCTAGTTTCGTATAGCAAACGAACTAACACGTAGTATAACATTATAACATTTAAATGCCGCTTAGTGTGCTAGTGTAACGTTAGACCAGGTGAAGCAGCGCTGCATTACCTCACAAGTTTAATTCGTCTAATAAACTGACCTGTGTGAGTAATCCAGCACTTGCGGGTAGTTCGGTAGAATTAAATGTCCTTATTCCTTTATATCTCCGGGACTCGCGTGTGATATCTGTCTCTTTAGCAATCGCGACCTGCTTCATACCACTGTAATGTTAACCCTTTCACACGTAAGTTTAAAATATTCTAACTGACCCCCCAGCGTGAGTTTTTCAAGGCGACCGTTATTTAGAACTTGTCACTTTAATGTTTCCATGGTGACGCGTCATTGCTTGTCACGTGACACAGCGCAACCACAACACAGCGCTGAATGAATGATGATCTGCTTTTATGTCATTTTTCCTTTTTTATTAAAAATATTCACAAATGAATTAGCTATAGCATGAAACACTGATATTCCGATTGTCAAATATGTGCAAGTGGATGGGTTTTGTTGTTTAAACATCTTTATAACGATCGCGTTAGTTGAGCTGTATGCACGATGGGCGGCGCCATTTTAGTTTTTTTACAGTTCAGAGAATCGGATCTGTTGGATTTACAACACGTCAATTCCTCCACTTCTCACGAAATACATGAAAGTAAGTGGCCGGTGAACTGGGAGAAGAATAGGGTCAAATGTAAAGCTACTTACACAATGTGTATCTGATATGAATAAAACGTGTCGTCTTATTATAATGGAAAGGATTATTATTGCCGCTTCCATAGACATCAGTGTTTTACAAACTCAAAATCATTGTTTTGCTAGTACTTATGTGTATTTAAATGTCTGAAACCTAAAATAAACATTATGTGGTTGAAAACACTCAATAGTTGTGATATATGACAGCACTGAGTGCGTCTGTCTCTGGCTCAGCACCAGCCAACGCGCGAAAGCACGTTTGACAGTTGATCACGTGATGCACTGACCGTTCTAATCACACCGGTGTGATCGTAAGCTCCAGGGACCAGCCAAGACTGAATGTACATAAAACAATGTTTGCACTCATCCATAAACATTATTAGATCCATCAGCTTGACAGCAAGTCCCATCATTCAGCTCATCACTGCGTCATAAACCTACGCCTTTGTTATTGTTGGAAACTGCGCCCTCTTATGGCGAAAAAATCTTACATATTGTGCCTTTAAGGAGTTTCATGAGTGTATATTGCCTCATATGATGAGTGTTCATGTAATGTTGTCAGTAGTTAAATATTAAGTTCTCTCATGAAACTCTAGATGGTGCAGGCTGATTGCAATCACATCATTCTTTATAGGGCACAGCTGATTGGTTCCTGCCATATCAGTAGCCAATTAGCTTGCTGCTCAACCTTCAAATACTTGGTCAGCATTTGCTGTGGCTGTTGCAGAGCGCTTGCAGAAACCCTCCATCTTCCCCAGCTCCACCTGTATCTGCTACGGGCAGTGCTCAAAGTGGGCCAGTACGCACCGATATCTGTATTTTAATCAGTAGCGTCTTGCGTACTTCTCACATGTTAGTTTAACTAGTGCCCCCCATCCTCATTTTAGTTATATAGAATACTTGTACAAAATGATATTTAGTATTCATAAGCATGCTGGTTCTATTAATTACAATTAACTCAGATATAAATGTTATATATGATCTGTTCAGTTTTTAAAAATAACAAATTCGAGGTTCCATTCTAAACTTCCATTTTATTAATTTTGAGTAGATATACTGTATGATTTTTAAAGTGCACACAATGTTGGTGGGGGTTTCATTTAGCTGTTGCATTGTCAAATAAAGGGTGGAGGCATTGGGCTGACGGTCTCCCAACATAAGCAAATTGCCAATAAATTATGTTCTCTGCTGGGAGGGTGAGGGAAGAGACTGAATCACTGATTCAAGAGAGGGAGAGGGAGCGAGAGAGAGAGAGAGAGAGAGAGAGAGAGAGAGAGAGAGAGAGAGAGAGAGAGAGAGAGAGAGAGAGAGAGAGAGAGAGAGAGAGTACCGTGGATCGGACTGAGGAGCACCGGCCCGCACGCGCGTGTCTATTTCCTCTCTCACACGCGTTTCACTAGTTTTGACAAGGGGTTGCATTCTTTTGGAGGCGACATCTCTTGTTTTCCATCAGCGCGCGCTTGATGCGGATTAAATCACTCTAGAAACATCAATCTCGTCTCAGAGTGGATCAGCACCTTGGACAGCGGATGCCAGAGGTACAGTCTGCTGAACGGTCTGTTCGGATGAGGGAGGGTTTCCTGTCAAAACCATGAATTACCCGTTGTGCAATGAGCTGTGGCGAGCACATAAGGCGCGTTGTGCTTCCTAAATTAATATCAACTTAATTGAACTGACTGCATGAAGGACAATTAGTTAATGGCTGGCTGAGTAGGCTACATGTGTGGATAAAAAAAGTATTGCGATTTATGCCGGTGCTTCTAATAGGTTCGAGTTTTAGAGCAGTTTCTGTGGCTAAAGTATCCGTTCATGAATTATTGAGACAGCTAGCACTTTTAGCTAACTAATGGGATTGTGAGAATGCAAAACTATCGGCTAAAGATTGTTAAATGAAAGAAGAAAGCAAAATTCGAGGCTTTGACGTTTGACAGATGATAGTCACTGTTGTCTAATAACGAAGAATGTCTATTTTTAATCTATTGTAGATTATTTGAGTAGTTTGGGGTGTGAATCTAGTTAATAGTCAAGTCACATTTATTTATAGCGCCTTAATAGGCTACAGATTGTTTCACAATCATTACAGATTGTAGGCTAATACACGATGTAAGCGTTAAAAAGTAACGAGTTAAACATGATGGTGGTTTTGATTCGTCTAGCTAAGTGACACGAATCTTTTGAATCCAATTCACCTGAGGATTTGTTCATTGACTCTTTTTGGAGGTTAAGTCATTATGCTAAGTGAGCATTAGGCTAGGCTACTGTGAAATGAGTGAATAATTGAATCGTTCACTCGAATCGTTTAACAACTCAGAATTGCCTTTTAGTAAGTTTTATTTTCCACGTCATTGCAATAATCAACAAATTTACACTGTAAAATGTGGTAACCTGCAATTGTTACGTTAAAGAGCTATCTTACCTGTAAATTTAGTTTTGTTGGTGTAACTTAATATATTTATGTAGATTCAGTAATGTTAAATACAAATACAAGCGATTAATTTAGATGTTACCTTACCACATGAAGCAAATTTTTAGGTTACCATTTTTTCAGTGTAGGCACTTCAGAAAGAGTATCGTATACCCACAAATGACAAAAAAAAAAAAAATCGTCCTTTTATACCTGCTGGGCATGATTTTAATCAATCTATAACAAAGTCTATAAAATTAAGTAGCCTACTGTTATGCCATTTTTAATAAGTTCATCAGTCATTTTTAGACTAACAGCACCTTCATCCTTCTTGTAACTAAACTGATTCATGTCGAACATTCCTCGTTCAGTAGATCCTTGTTCACTAATGCGATGCCTCGTTCATTACGTTCGTTCACCACTATAAATGCCGTTTCGAGTCAGTTTTTGGAAGAAGAGAAAAACAGTCACGAGAACGATTCGTTAAAAGATTCATTCATAAACGTTTCATGAGGTAACCCATGCACTGGCTCGAAATATTCTCGACTCTCCACACTTCATATATTTCTCTAAGTCTTTCAAACAATGGTCTTGGGGTTTGCTTCTGTTTTTATTGCCTGAATATCATTCTAGCACCTCGAAGGGTTTAAAGGGGAAAAGACTCCTCCACCGTTTCCACTTACAATGCTGGCTCGAAGCCCGCGGGCATTTTCACGCGCTCTGCAGTGTGTTCTGTGGGAAGCCGAGAGGCGCCTCACGTGACACATAAACAACCTGAGGGATCCTCAAACCCTTTCACCTCCTGACCATGCATGCACTTTTATCGGCAGCCTTGCTTACAACAAGGTGGCTTTTTCAAAGTCAGTTTATTGCACATATCTTAGTTATAACTTAGGCTTTGCTACAAAACGCTATTGAACCTATAGCATACTGGCCAGGAAACACACAGGTAGCATAGGCTACAATCAAACCGTTGTTTTGGCCACCAAATTTTTGTAAATGTTTTGAACTACACATTGAAATGAACATACATCACAAAAGCATTAAAGCTGCGGTCGGCAAGTCTGGCAGATTGAGTGGACTTAGGCAAAATTTTGAATGTTTACAACTCTCATGGCCCTCCCCCACTGAATACCCTCCCACCGAGTTCATGCTCGTCAGTGCGTGTGCACCAGGTTATCTGTGAGCGCCCGTCTCATCAGCATCCATCAACACCATGGAGTATTTGGAGGTATGCTGTCCTGGCTAATCTACTGATAGATTGCAATTGCTAAGGTCATTTATACTCTAAATGAGCTTACTTGATTTGTTAGTGTTCCGCCATCACTCTTCGTTACTGCGCGTGTGCATGTGATTGTAACGTGCGTGAGGGGTGGCGTGTGCCCGATCTGTGATTGACAGTCAGATCTTACACCCCCCTGCGCTGATTGGACCCGATGATCCGGGAGCTGTGGATTTTTGCAAAACAAATAACACGCTAAAGCCAGGTGGAGTTAGAAGCTCGGGTTTGTTTCTAACACCACTTTATTTATGTTGTTCTGTCGGATTATAGTGTCGATTTCACTGAATATGATCAAAAAAATGTTGCCGACGGCAGCTTTAACATTTGTGTAATTGGAATTTTGATTCAAAACCTAGTTACTGGAATACTGTGACTACTCCCCCAACTGCTCCCATAATTCCCTTATGAATTTTGAGGTCTCCTTTTCCTTCTCACCTGGTTGGTTGATGTTTGTTGATTATACATAATTTCCTTCTGACCAGTTTCATTATTCAGTGTTGAAATCTTTGAGTAAGAAATATGTCATCTGAGTAACATTTTGAGTGCTTGAGTATCTGTGCCTGTCACACCGGACAGTTTATGTAGTCAGTAAGCCCAAACAAATTATTAAGCTGCTTGAGTGATTTAGAGACATTTATGTGGGAAAGAAATAACTTTGATAAAAAAGTCAAAACCAAAACAGTTACATTATTTCTAGCACAGTTAATGTAAAATTGCATTCACAACACATTTTATGTCTGTAATATTTTGGAGATTTAGCTGGAAATTCAACAAGAAAAAACAGTATTGTGGGATGGGATTTTTTTTTTTCTCCACCAGAAATTGATTGGATTTTGAAAATTGGCCATTATAGGCCACCGGAACAGAGCCAGGTGATTGAACGAGCAAGGCTGGAAAGTTATTACATTTTGAAAAAAGATTAAAAGGTAAACATCATTTTTCTTTGAAATAATGTGCAAATATGACTTGCTCACAATTAGACCAGAAAAGACAGTGCACAGGGTCAGTTTCATGATGACTTACCTCTCCCATTGATCTGATTATGGCACACAATATTGCCAATGGTTTGCTTCAGACAAATCAGTACTTTATCTCACTTCCTGTGCTTAAAAACTGAATTGGGTTTTCAGAGTGTCACACCCCCCTCAACTATCCTGTCTGTCCATTATCAGGACATAAGTATGACCGGTACATTCTCACCCCGGCTACGTAAGTTCCACCTGCAGGTTTCCAATCTTCCTCTGGGTTTCATAAGTGTGACATGACCGCCTCCATTTGCAGGCAGACAGGCATAGCTGCCTCCCTGCCAGTCCAAACCCCCCACTGGCTAATTACTGACACAATGTCAGCATGGACAGCTGGCAAGGCCATTTTGTGAAGTGAAGCATTTGACTGGGGTTAGCTGGATGGAGTCCTTTCCACTGAGTTTTGCATCAGTAGGAGGCCTGGATGCCCACATCAAACACTGCAGCAGTGCCCATGAGACAGCATGCTGAATGCACATACACAGCCCTTCAGCACTGTGGAATGATGGTTAAGATGGACTGGTTGTGCTCATTAGAGATAGTTGGATTACTCTAGAGTTTGTGTGTTGTAATATGCTGGAAGGACTTTTAAGGGGTAGCTGTCATTCTAGATTGTTCATATCTGATCACATATGTCTCCAGTGCACCGTTAACTATATCAGAATCAGAACTGAGTTCATCTGCCATGTAAACAACTTCTTAGAAGGAAGGCGACTTGGTGAGTTGCTCCCTAGGTAACAGTAAACCTACATAATTCCAATGAACAGTTTATGCAGTGCTGAAGTACAGGCGAGGAATGTTTAATATTCTGCAGTTATGTTCAGAATTTATTGGTGAAGTGCATACCGTTTAAGTTAGATAAGCACATATTTGCGTGATTTCAAAGACAAGGCTTAAGCCTAGTCTCAGACTTAAATGCATGTTTGAGGTGTTTTAACTGAAAGTAACTTGCACTGACATATCTTAAAATATATCATTGCCCTTGTTCGTCTCAAGATGCACACTAGTAATGTTTTTTTGCTAAGGCACGTTTAAAATGTAACCAAGGTCTAATCCTGGCTTAATCTAAGCCCTGTCTGTGAAACTGGGCAATACAGTCTAAATAACATACATTGGCAAATGCGATAAATTTATATATCATCATCAAAGTATATTTGTTACTTTGTGATGTGAGGGATGTTGCAATACCTCAATTAAATCAAACACTGTTAAAGGGGTGGTATAATGCCCCTTTTTACAAGATGTAAAATAAGTCTCTGATGTCCCCAGAGTGCGTATGTGAAGTTTTAGCTCAAAATACCCCACAGGTATTTTTTATAGCATGTTAAAATTCTCCCTTTTTGAGGGTGAGCAAAAACGCGTTTTGTGTGTGTCCCTTTACATGCAAATGAGCTGCTGCTCCCGGCACAGAGGGCGGAGCTACAACTGCTCATGTGTTAGCAGCTCTCATTACCTCACCAGACATGCACTAAAATGTCAGAAACTGTCCTGTCTTTTATGTTTAAACCAAAGTCGGACCCAAGAATAAGTGACAACATGTAGAATGCAACAGGACATTTCTGAATGGTTAGTTGATGAATGTATGTAGCTGAGGTGGAGTTTACTATATTCAAGTCATTGAAATCGCTAGTGTGGGAACTGTTGTAAGATGCCTACAGAGTGACATGCTATTGCATTTGTGTTACGTACTGTATTGCAATAAATGTGAAAAGACGTATGCGTCAACTTGAGCAGACTCTCAAATGGGCTCTAGCCTACTACAACAACTCTTCCTCTTCTCATGGACTCAGTGTTGCCAGATTGGGACGGTGATATCCAGCCCAAAAG